AAGTATATATATAGTAATAATAAATTTGATTATATTTTCACACAATTCAAATATGAAGAAAAAGTTGCTACTTGGTATTAATCTTTGGATAATTTTAGAAGGATCTACTAACGTTTAAGTATATGATATTGGTCAACCAGAGACCGAACTAAAATATCCCACATATATACATATTAAATATCTAGCACTTGTAACAAATGATATATACACACGGACAGATATATACACACGGACACACACAAAGACATATATATGGGTCATTTTGATTTCGGTCCTTAATCAACTTAATTGTTAAACTAAAATCTTATTTGTTTAAATAGTTTGATCGAGATCCTTAACATTATTTAAGAAATTTAACTCGGCCACTCCTAGTGGTAAACACCCTACAATCATGTCTAATTTATCATCCATAGGTGCTGATGCCTCCTGGAAATCCGATATCTCCATTGATGTAGTTGCATCTTCCAGATGATCTACATGTGCAAAGTTAGACTCACGACGAGAATGATATTTGGCAATAGCCTCAGGGGAAGCTCGGCATACGCGTGACCAATGATCCCTTGATCCATAGCGATAACACATGTCCAGTTCAGTAAAAGCAGCTTGAACGAGAACTTTGCCCTTGTTCTTGAAGTTTAGATCCTTAGGGTATTGTTTGGTACGCAGACGGGACGGAACGAGACGGGACGGAACAGGACGGAACGGATGATGTAAATATTGAAAAAGATAAGGAGAAATTTTGTCATAAAATGTTATAAATTTGTGTTCCACGGATGTGGAACTGGTCGTTCCAGGGGGAAGAGGTGGAACGAAAAATCAGCCAAATTTCGTCCCATGGGACAACCCGTTCCACAGTTTTTAGGCGCACCAAACTTGGGACCGAACGGCTCGTCCCGTTCTGTCCCGTCCCGTCCCACTTACTAAACGGTACCCTAGAGGCGAGTGGTAGACGTTGTTGGGTTACATTTCTTCCCTTAGGTGTTGCACTCAGTTGACCTTGGGCCCGTGGTTGGGCTTGCCACTTATTACCACAGCCACAACGGTTCTTTCGTCGTTTATGGATGCTAGAATATGTTACATGTGCTTCAGGCGCAGCGTTCGAGCCAGTGGGTCAAGCTTGATGATTCTTCATCAAAAGCTGATTCTGCTTTTCAGCGAGAAGTAAAACAAAGATCAAATCTAAAAACTTGGTGAATTTTTGTGCCCTATATTGTTGATACAGGACAATATTGGTGGCATGGAAGGTCGAATAAGTCTTCTCCAAGAGATCCGATTCGGTTAATTCCATTTTGCAAAATTTCAACAGAGAACGGATTCTACAAACTTCAGAATTGTATTCATTCACGGACTTAAAGTCTTGGAAGCGAAGATGTTGCCAGTCGTGTCTTGCTTCAGGCAAGTATATGTCTTTCTGGTGATCAAAACGGTCGGCTAGAGCAAGCTAGAAGGTGCGTGGGTCTTCCTCATCAAGATACTCAGTCTGCAGTGCATCATGAATGTGTCTTTGGATGAAGATCATTGCAGTAGCCTTCTGAGCTTCGTCAACAGGTTTGTCGGCGATAGGTGCCTCAATGGTGGCTCTAATACCCTTTGCAGTAAGATGGAGTTTCACGTCTTGAACCCACTTCAGATAGTTTCTTCCAGAGACTTCTAGAGCGGAGAAATCGAGCTTGTTCAAGTTCGACATGTCCCTAAAACGGAGGGAGAAAATGTAATTAGTCATATGGTAAGCAGTAGACATATATCGTAAAACATACAGGTTCTATAGACATGTAGCGGTTTAATTTATGCATGAAAACTACGGGTTTCATGTGGTATGTTTTGAATGAAAACTTCGGGTTTCAAAGGCACTAAATTTGAAACTACAGGTTCAATTTAGTTTTATGAACAATTAGTTCATAATGAAAGGTTCCTGCAAGAAACACAGAATGCAATATACTAACTAAGTGTAATGGATTTGATTCTTCGGGAACTCATGTGTGAGAGCTTCGTTACTACGAAAGTATGTGATGGTTCAAAGTATAAAAATAAATTATTGAATCGCTAATGTCCAAAAGTGATCTTCAGGTCAATAATTTTGGATTCATTATCAGATTAATGGACTGCAGGTCAATTTTAATTAATTCAATAAATCGGGCCATACGGGATCGATTGTAGAAGCTAAATAATATTAAAAGAATATTATTGGATAAAAAATATAGCCCCAAAATAATTTGGGCTTGGTGCTGTGAGTTATAGGTCACGGGTTTGGGTGCCTTAAGCATAAGGCAAGGCCCAAAGATCCTTGGATGGTGGCTGTAGGCCACGGGATGGACATCAGAAGCCCCAGCCGTAGGTGGGTTGTGTTTTGGGCCGCAAGGGAGTGCACGGACAGGTTCAGCGCAAGCTGGCCTGTGGGTTTGCGTTGGAAAAACTAAGGCCAACGCATGGGCTGGCTGCAGGTGATGCATGCTATGACACGGGCCAAGGTGCAGGTTATGGGCATGGCAACCCAACAACCTTAAAGGTTGCAGCATGCAGGGAATAGGACCCCAACCCGGAGCTAGGTTGTGTGAAGGCTACGGGCCTTGGTGCAAGGGTGAAGGGCTGCAGGCCCATCCATTTGGGTCTCAGGCTGAGACCTAGTATCAATTTGCACAGAGAAGGTGCAGTGTTGTGCAGCACCATGCCTTAGTTTCCCCTTTTTCTTTTTTCTTTTTCAAATCCCTTAGGGTTTAGGAAAAACCCTAAATATGCTTCTAATTTATTTTGTATAATTTGACTCACAAATTCCACATAACAATTTAATTATGCGATGCATGAAACAAATATATATATTGACAAATATATGAACATATACAATATATATATATCGAAAGGAAAATATAAAGAAAGAGGGGTTCATGCATTATGGGGAATGTTTTCATGCTTCGTGGACGTTTCAAATATCTTCTTTTATTTTAACCGTACCTGATTAGTAGAAAACGAATAAGCTTTTGAATTTGGTGGATGATAGCCTCCTCCAACGATACATCAATTCCTTAGCTTCTGGCAAGAGCATACTGATAACGTGTTGTAGGCCTATTTTATTGAACGATCTAGGGTTTAGAGAGAGGGGGGCCGGCCACTATTAGAGGAAGAGAGATTGATTTAATTGTGAGATGTGTTTGATTCACCCCATTGTGCCTTTATTTAGAGTAGTAGGAAGGATAAAACATTTCCTTTTAGGATTACAACATTTAATAGGTAATCTAATCTTAATAGGAATATAAGATACATTCCTAGATTCCTTAGGATTTACACAATCACATTCCTATTCTAAATATGACTGTAACAAATATATGATAAAAAAATTTAGCCATAAATATAAATATATCAATTGTTATTACCAAATGCAACATTTCTAACACTAAATGAATATATTTAGAAATAAAAAATATTTTATTAGTGAAATAATTAATGACGTTTATTAATACCTAGGGACCTTGATCACAAATTGAAAAGGAATAAGGTTTTAATCAAGGGAATTGCAAAAAGAGGGATGGAAACCTAATTTTTATATATATATGAGAAAACTGTCGATTTTCCTCTTGACCTTCACTTAGCTTTCGATTTCTCCCCTAAATTTTTTATTTGGAAAATCAAGGACTTAAACTAATTTTTTTTTGCCAATTTCCCCTACCATTAGTTTTCCATAAATTTCATCCAAATTAACGTTAACACTTATCACGTGCACACTACGTGACTCTCATTTGAGGACAAAAGTGTTACTTTGCTAGTTCTTCAGATACAAAAGTTATAGAATCACACAGATTTGCAAAAGTTGACATTCTAGATATCTAGGGTTTTCAATTATTTTAAAGAACAAAGCGATCAAACTACCCACAAATGTTGTGCACATGCTTTAATTAACAGAACTTTAGATGAAATGAATGAAAAAACTAACAACAGGGGGAAATCGGCCAAAAAAATTAGTTTAAGTCCTTAATTTTCCAATTGAAAAGTTTAGGGAGGAAATAGAAAGTCAAGTGAAAGTTCAGGAGGAAAATCGGTAGTTTAATATATATGTATGTACCTGTACCTGATAAAGTTGTTTTCTTCGCACACAACTCGGCAAACCCTATGAGCTAGAAATACCTTGATGCAATTGCAGAGTACGGAAAGCTTACGGAATATGACTAATTTTTCATCATGATGCCGATGGCTTACTCTCTGATCCAGTCTAAATTCAACTGATTATCATTTAAGCAATACAGATAATAGTTAGAGATCCGGATAACCATTTCACAAGTTGTACGTTAATTAACGAAGAATATTCTTACAGTTTACTATTGAGTTGTGAGTTAGAATGTGAGCATTCAATTCAAAATTCAATTATCGACAATGGTCAAAATCATAGGAACACTTATGCAACATTTTACTCCGCTGCGGACTCCTAAACTCAGCTCATGCCTAGGACCCTAGTTTGTGAAAATGAACAAACGATAATCATGATCAAATTATTTTCACTGAGTGTTTGGTGGCTGTTTTGCTAATCTTGCGACTTATTGGTGTAACTGTGCCACTATCTGTTATATTATTAAATTAAACAGGCAAGTTAATTGATAATCTTCCATGCACGATGGTCTGTTGGAATTTATCTCTAATGGTTAAGTGAGATAAGACTGATTGAGTTGGTCTTCTATATTCTAAGTTTAAGTCCAGAACCAAAAACCACACTGCCTGAAAAGGATAAACGAAGAACAGTAAGCTTCCACGTAAATGCAGTGCGCAGATATAAATTTATTTCTAGTTAGTTTCAGTTTCGATGAAGCCTAGCTAGTTTCTGCACGTTTGTAAATGCAGTGCGCAGATATAATTTTCTAGCCGGTTTCAGTTTCGATAAAGCCTAGCTAGTTTCTGCACGTTTTTGTTTGTTTGTCGATCCCCTAATTCTCTTTAGGTTTATTCAAAAGCAAAAATTAAGTAAAGTTGCGAGATTGTGTAGAAAAAAGAGTGCAGAAATCACTTTTGCATACAAATTGGAGAAAGTAAATAGGGTTTCTTTATAATAGGACTTGCTAGTAGCAGTGCAAATCCTTCAATTTATTAAACACTCTAATTAACCACACACGACATCTCTAAATACATACAATACGAAGTACTATAACCTGGAAACAAATAAAAGGACAATTAACTATATAATTAAAACGCCAATATATATAATTAGGGTTGCTCGTGATTTGATGATCCATCTACTGCATAATCAAGCTCCTAATTATAGCGGCCTCCGGACTATCAGCATCAATTGTAGAGAGCAGTTGGGAGAGTCGCTCGCTTAGGTCGTCAACCTCTCTGTGTAAGTTTCTGATGTAGCTGCAAGTCTCTTGTAGGACCTTAGATGCTGGTGCCTGCACCATACACCAAAGTAAAAGCCATCCCAATTAGCGCCATAACTACTGGCTTTCTAATATTTTCACAACACATTTTAAGGAAATAATTTTTTTTTCAGTGTGACGGTGATTAACAAAACTACTATACAATATTCAATTTGCGTACACAGAATAATCTCTCTATATGCATACATATTATATATGTATAACGTATAAATTCTTCAAGTTCTAAACATATCACATGTCACATAACACATGACACATGATAAGGTTTACTACTAGATGGTCCAACTCCAACAAGACAGTGTTTAGTAATATATGGGTCAATGGGAAACCCATATTATTAATTATCAACCCATATATCTAGTTCCTATGGAAATGTATCAATCCCTTGATGTCCGGGTCAAGTTTAGGTTACTCGAAAAGTCCAAATAGACTACAATATTATACTTTACATGCGGTCCTAAAGTGCATTTTCTCTTTGCTCCATGTTTATCTACCTGCACTTGGGTTGTTTAGAATTCTTCAAATCCAGATGCATATGTATCATGACAAAGAATTGTTATCGACACTTATAAACAAAGTCTTATATTACAGATTTTATGCGCTTTTAACAGCTCACTCACTAATTTACCTAAGAAAATAAGTGCAAAATCAATGACTTTATTTTAGGTGTATGTTCTTTGAGAGCAGAGAGGAAGAGTTTACCTTGTTGGAGCGCCTATCTCGAATCTCAGGAACCAGTTGACGTAATTTGGACACCAGTTCGATGATTTGGTCATCTTTGATCGCTGGAGTACCTGACTGCCTCGACCTTCTGCTAGACATGATCCCCTTCACCTAGCTAGCTAGCTAGACAAGTAGCTCTAGTTTTATATATCGTTCTCAGAACATATATATATGTTCGTATGTATGATCAGCCTGCCTATGGAGCTTTATATATCATATATAAGGTTTAAGAACGAGAATATTAACCTAAAAGAGGCTAGCTAGTAACAGAAGCACTGGAAAAGCGGAAAAGGAAGGAGAAGTAGATGAAAGAACAAGGAGAAGGAGAAGAAGAAGAAGAGGAAAAAGAGTATCTGCCTATCTGGTAACAGAAGAAGTGGTACTAGCTATCCTAGAAATAAGGTATATGAAGAGCTTAGCCCCAGACAATGATAAGAGATATATAAAGAGAAGAAGGACCACTAGGGAAAATAGCAGAGAGAGAGAGGGAGTACAACATAGACAACGATGTTGGATGTGAAGAAGACAACCGCGCATTGGAGAAAGCAGTCTACTAGACCTGGTATTTCAAGGCAAGTGTGAGAGAGCGAAATAAGAGCGACGAAATTTTTTATGGGTATTCTAAGCATAAGTTAGGTGTATTATTCACGTGTTATAATACAAATGGACGATGTGGTTGATATACATCTACGTTTAAGGTATTAACAAAAAAATGAATTTTCGTATTAAAATTTTAGTATTACATATAACGTCCCGTGAACATGTTCTATGTACATAAAAGATTGGGAGAGAGAGTTAGATGTTGTGTGTGTTCCCGAGTTGGGGTTTGATTTCAAGTGGGCTTCAACAAAGGTGTTTGATTTTCAGCTAACAAAGTGGGGCCTTCATGTACATGTCTCCATACGCAACACCATGTGATCATAGGATACTGATCCTCTCAGCTTCCACAACTAGGGTTACTGAATTTTATTCACCAATCAGCCACTGCCATGTTTGCGCCCCCTTTGAATTTTCAGCAATGGCTCCTATGTTTCAGGGCAGTCATCTCCAGATGCAGGTATTTCTTTCTACTCCATTATTCTGACTTGGTATTCTACGGTTGGTTTTGAACACAAGGCTGGATTAGTTACATACATTGGGGCCTCTACTTGACAATAGATAAACTTCTCCGGTCAGTTTTCACACCGAGGGAGACTAAGTCGAACGTAAATATAATCTTATGTCTTTTTTATATACATAAGCATTCTTCGGATGTTGTGGGTGGTCAGGGTGTCTAATAAAAAAATCAATGTGTCATGCTTGGTAAAAAATTAACTAGTCAGATTCTTCAACTTCAATGGAGTTAGTTTTCGAACTGTATATTTGAAATATTTCTTTCATATTATCCCTCGGAAATCATATCACATCTTCTTATGTATATGCATTAATCAAATTGTAAATGAAATATTCAATTCGTTTTAACCAAGCAAATCTCTACTGCGTCTCTGGCTATGAGTTTATATTTGTTTTCCCTTCTTGTTTGGGACACAACTACGTGAGCACTGCGTAGCACAAGCTTCAGGGTCACATGCCAATTTCCTGGCACACACGACACGCCAAGTGGCACGCCATAAACCTGAGTACATACAACAAGAGGTACAGAGGTGGGAGGTGTTTTCTAGAACAGGCGTGGATGTGAAATTTCCAGGCTTTTGTCAAGCACTGTCACATGCGACTATAAAATTAAACGACCCCCTATTTGTCTGCAAGGACCCCTCCTCTCTCTCTCTCTCTCTCTCTCTCTCTCTCTCTCTCTCTCTCTCTCTCAGCGAGCCTCTTGTGTGTTGTGTGCCTATGTGCTGCATGTGTGTGCATTTTGTTGCAAATTTTATTTTAGCCAACAACCAGCAAGATCTTTAACTACGATCGTTTTGGGCACCCACCAACAAAATAATATAATTCCAACCCTAAAGATAAAACGAAATGACGTTGGGATAAATATGTTGTGTGGGTATGTATCTTTCATGTTTCTAGACTCTAATCCCCATCTAATATATATATTCAATTTATAAAGATAGGTTGTTTTATCAAGACAATCGGATATGTTATATATGTTGTCAACTAAGTTATGAAAAAGTTCATAAACGTAGCCACACATACTAAAGAACATATAACTAGGGTTTACTAATGGACGTAGATACATTGGATTATGATCTACAATTAGGGTCTAGTAAAAAGATTTATTATTTTGTAACAACGACAATATTCTAATCTTTTACATGAGCCTTTATGTCACTACAAAAAAAAAAAAAAATCTCCCTTTCCAGACGAAATGGTACATGTATTATATGTACCCTAAAGATTTACAAATAGATCAAGAGGTAATTAACTTTCATATTCTCTTCAAACCCACATAATCCACTGAAAATGGTAAAGGAGCAAAGCCGCGCACTAGGGATGGCAATTTAACCCATCAAATCCGATCCCTGCAAGTAAGCGATCCGAATGGTTCGGTTTCGGGTATAAAATTTCAGGTATTTTACGGGTATGGGTAATTGTCGGGTAAATTTTTCGGTTTTGGGTTCGGTTATGGTTATTGGGGTATCCGCCCCAAACCCATACCCGAAACCGAACCATTTCATCTATAAATAAAAAAAATATAAATATTTATTATATGAAAATGGGTTGTTAATAATCATGCATTATTAAATATGAAATTAATTATTTACTTTTATATCATTAATAATAGGAATTATATGCTTATAATTTTTAAGAGTGTAAATGTTTTCTTAGTAATATAAAGTTTTAATATTACTTATTAGATGCATTGTGTATCAATTGTATTAATAATAGCAATTTATTTAATATCTTTTTTTTTTAATATTCTTCATTTAGTTAATAATATAAATATATATATAAATATCATAATGGGGAAAACCGTTCCCCGATAATAAATCCATCACCCGACGGGTTTGGTTATGGGGAAAACCCGTTCGGGGATTCTACGGGTTTGGGTTTGGGGAAAATAAACGGGTTCGGGTTTGGGGATGGCACATCCGAACCCAATCCATCCTGTTGCCATCCTTACTGAGCACATACATGCAGTCTCTATATGCATGCGTTTAGAGCCGACCCTAAGAATTTAGAGGCCCTAGGCGAGCCTCGAAGTGGGGCCCTAAAATTCTTTGATCTCTGGTCCTTTGTACATTGATTTGTATAAAAAAGAATTTGCTAAATACATAAAAAGTTCTATTTTCACATCAAATATCATTAAAAATTAATATCAAAAGAAGATAAATATACAAACATTATTTAAACATTACACGATTCACGTTTTTAGACACAAATGTACTAAATGTTTGCAGTCAAGAGTTTAAGATTGATAGTGAAGAACAATAAAACTTGATGATCAAGAGAGTAAATAACAATAAAACTTGATTGATGAGTATAATAAATTCAACGCCAATTGTTTTTCTTGTGTTTTTTTCTTCTTCTAAAATCAACATCACACTAACAAATTGAATATTAAAATAATCCATTGAATAAAAAGTTATTGAAAAGAAAAATATAAAATTCAAAGTTTTGATTACCTTAAAGTACAATCTTTAAGACCATATGATAGTTGGTTTAAACATTCAATAGAAATTGAGAGAATAGGAAGTTGGTTTAAACATTCGATAGAAATTGGGAGAATGAGAAGTTGAAAGAAAAAAGATTGCAAAGAGACTTGAGTTTTATAACTTTATATGCATTTGGACAGATGGATTGAGAGTTTGACAGATGGATTGGCAATACATTTGAAAAACAAGAAAAATCTAGTAACTGAAAGGCAACTTCGTGTTTCAAACTCAACACCCAAAGAAAAATGAAGCCAACATTTCCACTGCACTAACAAATGAATTATAATATTTCTTACTTTTTTTCGTATTTATATGTTAATTACAGAATGTAAAATTTTTTTGGGACCCGTTTGAAGTGGGGGTCCTAAGCGGACAACTTGGGCTACCCTTAAGACCGGCCCTGCATGCGTTATAGCAAATCGATAGGCTCACATGGTTTACTGCATGAACCTTAATCAGGAAGAAAAATTGACCACCGTATATATACAAATCAAATCTTATCTCATTGATCGTAATGTATTTGTCCTTATACATGCATGTGATGTTGCTGTAAAAATAAGGGTCTAGTGACTAGTACCGGACCCAGTTAACTTGATGGAGCGATACAGGATTCATTTGAGGCAAAACATCAGCTACTTTATTAGCTTTATCTATCTCATTCTTGTTTTGATTAATTATTATACATATCTAACCAACGGTGGATGTATATTAGGACCAAGGTGGTCTCAAGATTATCCGTAGTTAAGAGAATATACATGTGAAGGTTTTCTGTGGTGCCTTTTAATTTTTGGTGTGGATTCCTTTTGTGCCTACACCAAGTGTTTGATATAGTATTTGTTAGGCATATCTCTGCATCACTTTACATGATTCTCTCGATAGCACTCATTAGATTGCTTCAACATATGTCGATATATGCTGACATATGCACAACATAGTTTGGCTGATGACAATAAACCCACTAGGTATTCAACAAAATGTTTCAGTGAATAAACTGAAAAAAATTTGCACACTTCGCGCTCTGTTTCTACTGAAAAACTTAAACCTTTAACATTAGAATCTTGAATGTTCAAATCTTGGATCAACCATTGTATCTAATACTTGAACTTAAAAAAAAAAAACACAAGTCATGTGGTGTATTATTACACATGTTATCAAAATAGTGGACGATATATCTGATATATCTTACTTATAATGTATATTAATAAAAATAAAAACCAACCAGAACGTTATAATTTAGATAATAATTTTAGCATCACATGATTGTGTTCCGAATATATTGAAAAATTGCTTTGCAATGCTCTTTGATTGTGAGCCGTATTGCTCTTACTCGATCCATGTCCCCCTATTATTAATTCAAAGAGGTGTTGCCAATTTTTGGGGTCCGCTGGTGGCCTTTGTTGTTCCTCTATATTTCTGAAAGTTTTGTATTATATTTATTGGGTTTTTTTTTTATGTGGAAAGGACATTATGTTTAAACCAAAAGTTCAATGATAGCCTACTACACGTCATGAATCTTCTTGAAAGTTATGTGTGTTGCAAGCTACAAAAATCTGTTATACATATGTGCGATGTAGACGACGAATTCAATATCAAATTAGATCGTTAATTGTGTGGTTTAACATAACTCTTCCCTCCCCTTAGTATTAAATATATCGTTGTACAAACTCTTGGTTACTTTAAACATCGGTCGTCAAAATATTAAACAACCATTCTGGTTCCAACAAGTCCCATCTAAAAACATTGTTTAGCCAAAGAGAAATGCAAAAGAGGCTCTTTTAAAAGTAAGACTATCTGTCACCACACAATTTAACGTTAATTATGATGCCAACATTATAAAATATTGTGTCAAAAATATGAGATGGCAGAATTCTTAGAAAGTCCCACTTTTAAAAGAATCCCCTTAACATTTCTCTTTGCCGA